TTTAAGCTATTTGGTTACGCATTCTGAAATAATTATCAGATATTCCAAGACTGTTTTGATGTATTTCGGTTTTTATTCGTTTCCTCAAATTTGTCCTGCGGTCACTGAGTTCATGAAGTTTTATATCTCAGATGAATAATACTGTACCGAAAGGAAATCAATTTCCTCATTTAAATTTACCAATTTGGCCCCCTTTGAAGGCCAAAACCTCTGAGAAAGTTTATTTCAATCCTACACCCTGATAGAAATCAGATTCTTCTATTTCCAAGTCATATTGGATTTTTCTTGTAATGTATGTTTATTTACTGGCAAATAAAATATTCAAACGAAAAATACAATAGCTGAAAAAGTCACTTTGCGAGATGGAATATCATCGGACGTTCTGCACAAGGACGCGATGTCTCCGCTGCATTTTGCAGACATTCACCATAAATGAACATCACATCAAGTTTGTTATTGTGATACATATGTGCTACTATGCAATAACTACCTCCAACTGAATATAATTAGGTAGGTACGTTCTAACATGGTTTGTCTAATCACTGACACAACATTGAATTTAATTTTCAAACACCTCTGGCACGTCTCACATAACTTCAACATCTAATGATAAGCAAGTAAGTAGTATGTAGTTCCTTTAAATGTAAATATAAAAAGGGTTTTTTGGACATTTTTTCAACAATTATTCAATTTAGAGATGCAAAAAGTCCAATAAAACGAACTCACTTTTAATGACATCCTGCATAATAGAGATTTACAAGTTGTACAATATTTCTCTTATTTAATTATTCGTAATTAATTATGTTGGGTTGGAAACATAATATAATTCTGTAACTGGAATTTTGCCTAACAAAGTGATCCCTTTGGTTGGAGTCTTAGCGTTGTGTGTCTAACGCAGGCACCAGCATCTACCTCTTCTATTTCGACACGAGCGTTCTAGGATTTCCTTCATTAAATTAACCCTTAGGTTTCAGTGTAAACATTCAAGATACAACTTGTGGTTGAGCAGAACGTGTGGTGAAGTGGTTTCATTGGCACAGAATATGCATTTTCGTGCTATGTATTACAATTACCTACCTCGGTCTGTCGTAAAATGAAACAGTGGATCTAATTTAACGTTATGTATACATGTGTGTGTGGGGTTCCTTAGAATTTGGGGAAAACTGATGTACCTATAAAGCGATGACATGCTAAATATCTAGGTGAATTTTGGCATTAATTATAGTTGTACAAAACAAAAACAATTCTAATAATAATAATAATAATAATAATAATAATGCATTTATTGCCCAACAGAAAACATTCCATTTACAGGACAAAATAAGTAAATAATTATAATATAAGCATACTACTGTACAATAAATAAAGAAAACAAATAAATAAACCAAATAAAGAAATAAACAGCATAGAGCATAAAACCTTTATCTAATATTGAAAATTATTGAAGTAATCCGAGGCAATTCTTAACAAATCATTAAAATTACAATGAAATAAATCACAATGATCTGCTATTTGGTTATAATTATTAGCCATTAAATAAACAGGAGATTTTACAAGCACATTTGTTCTAGCATTTCGATAGTAAAACAGTGAATCCTCTCGAGAGCCAGGTCTCGGAACACGTATATTAAAAAGATAGATTAAAGCCTGAGAATCAACCATGCCATGAAACAATTTATATAAAAAAGATAAATTTGCAACCACCCTTCTAGTATTCAGCGACTGCATACTGAATCTTTGTAACAGTAATTGGTAGTTGTATCCCCTGTCATGATAAAAATTGTCAACACGAAAAGACAGGAATTTGAGAAAACGCCGCTGTATTATTTCCAAGCGGTGACTGTATGTTTGATAACATGTCAAATAAGGCTACAATATTCGAGTTCTTCAATGCACCTATATCGGTAAAAGATCTTGTACTTCTTATAACAAAGCCTAGCATACTATAAGCTTATTTATACTTGAATTAATATGATCAGCAAAAGACAATCTGCTGTCAAACATTACACCAAGATCCTTAATGTTCTGAAAACGACCTATATTATGATCAAATATGAGGGGCTGATTTTTAAGAGTAAACGTACACACTTTGCATTTATTTTTGTTAACAGGTAAATAATTATCAGTACAATATATATAAACATGATCCACAAGGTCTTGCAATAACAAACAATCAGCCACAGATGATATATTCAAGAATAATTTCAAGTCGTCGGCAAACATAAGATGATTTGACTTTACTGTTAGAGATAAGTCATTTACAAATAATATAAAAATGATTGGGACCAAGTTAGAGCCTTTAGGTACTCCCGATGCCGCGTTAAAAGTATTCGACTTGAAACCATTATAAGAGACATACATCTTTCGATGATATAGGTAAGAATTGAAAAGGCGGAGTAAGCTCTCACTGAAACCATACCGTTCCAACTTACGTAGGAATATAATATGATTAACCTTATCAAAGGCCTTTGAGAAGTCTGTGTAAATGACATCAACTTGCCCTTTGTCATCAACATAGTTCGCCGTATACTGGGTAAACTCGGCCAGATTTGATAAAGTTGGACGATTCGGAAAAAAACCATGCTGATTTGGTGATATGTACGACTTTAAGTTATTTAATATTTGTTTATACAGACACATCTCAAAGACTTTTGCAATGTTAGACAATATGGCAATAGGACGATAATTTCTTACATCCGCAGGGTTACCGCTTTTTAAAATTGGACACACTCTTGTAAGTTTCCACCTATCAGGAAATTCGCCAGTGGATAAAGCAATATTGAATAACGTAAGACGCGGAGTGTATAGAACTCTCGAGCAATATCCTTTACTAGAAAACGAGGAATCTGATCCTCACCATACGCCATTTTGTTTTTTTTTAGTTTATAGATATTAAGGGGACGTGGATATTTCTCAGATAAAAATAAACAAAAAGTTCATATAAAACAAGCCCGTGGCGTATCGATTTTTAGGGATATAGAAACTAATATTTTTTGGAACAAATAGTCACTTTTTTAATTATTTCAGGAACTATAATGTCAAAAAATCTTGTAGGGTGATACCTACATTTAGTACTTCATGCTAGTAATTATGTATTTCAATTGTCAGTGCCATAGATATGGGAGGGGGTCAGTCTTTTTGGTGAAACATCACTTCTACAGTTATTAGTTTTTAAAAATATTTATGCACACTTTTAAATAATTTTGATGTGTGAAATCCTTTTTTAAAGTTAAGTATTTTCTTAGATTTTGAAGTAACTTGCATAATAATGATTAAGCACTTAATTTTTTATTACAGAAACTACAATTCTTCAAACTGACGAGGTTGACACAAAAATGTTGAGGAAATTTGGGGTACACTCGCAAGGAAAAGGCAAAGATAATACGTGGTAATCTAGAGTAATACAAACATTTCTGGAGAAATTAGGGTAATGCATAACCCAAAGATTTTGTGAGGTATTGTTGGTAATTGTGAGGAATTTTAGGAAATCTTTCATCTAAGCCACGATCTACGAAGCTATGAGGTATATGTATATAAAGAGTGTCAAACCACGAACTCCATCGATGGATATTTGGGAAACCGCCCTATGGATTTTTTTGAAATTGTGATGGTATGGACCATTTAAAAATTTCGAGTTTTCCACTACTTCATACTCGATAATTTTTTTTGACCACCCTATATTAAAACTGGAAAATTTTCATGTCAAATTCGATAAATTACATCTTCCTCTACAAAATGTCCAATTTGCACAAAAAATAAACCTATGTTTCCGGAAAAACTAAATTTTGCTGACAGTCTGCATCTGTCAATTTTTGCTTAAAAATCAAAATATCTCGGAAACAGTCAATCCTAAGTATGGAGTATGCTATATGTTTTCAACTTAAAAATAGATGCTCTTTCCAAAAATGCAATAATATGCAGGGGGTTCCATTTAAAATAAGAAAGTTAGTATCGATTTCCGGTATAACCGTAAGTATCATGACCTTGAAAATATTTTAGCTTGGTAGGCCCCACGGTCCGTATCACGCCATCACAATTTCAAAAAAAATCCTTCAAGTGGTTTGCCAGATATCCATCGATGGAGTTCGTGGTGGGACACCCTGTACAGGGTGTATATAT